TCTCTCCCCTGCCCTCTATTTCCACTCTCTAAAAATCAATGGAAAAAATGTCCTCTGGTGAGGATTAACAAAAAAGAAAAAGAAAAAAGGAGGGGAGGAGAGAGGTGTGCGCACGCCCGAGCCCGCACCCGCATGCGGCTTGGGGAAGAAATCACATGCTGCAGGTGCTTGGGGAAGAAATCACGTGCTGCAGGGTGCTAGCAGCTGCCTTACGGAGACGAGGACGTACCTGTTCATCACACTATTTTTCCAACTTTTAAAGATTTGTAAATTCCAAAATAAAAAGTTGAGGGAAAGAGAATTTAAGTACATAAAACGTAGATACAATTTTAAAAGTAAAAGGATTATGAGATGAAATAAGCAAATATAACATACTGACCCTGATTGGATCCTGGTTTAAACAAATATGTTTGAGATATTTAGGTAAATTTGAATATGAAGAGGATACTAGGTAACATTAAGGAATAACTGTTAATTTTACTAGTTATAAAAATGTTATGGTTATTGGGAAAACGGCTTTATTTTTAACAATGCATACTTAAATACTCTATGGAATAGCTAAATGTCATTATATCTGTAATTTAAAACAGTTCACTTAAAAAATCAATGAAGGCAATATGACAATATGGTAACAGTTGTTACATCTCAGTGATAATTTTATATGTGTGTTTATTGTACTAATCTCTGTTTTTCTATTTGACTCTTCTTAGGAATTTTTATCATAAAAATTTTTTAAAAGAAAAAGAAGAATAAAACCTATACACTTGGTTTTCAGGTTGAGAGATAAAATACTGCCGTTATCCTAGATGTCCCTATCAGATCTTTCTCTCTTCTCTGTGTCCTGGTACCACTTATTAAATAATGTACCCTTTTTCTGCTGATCTGCGGTGCTTTTTTCTGACCCACTGGATTACTTCTCTGTTCTTGCATGTGTAGAACAAGTTGGTTTATTGCTCTTTGTTCTTTTTCAAGAGTATCTTGGGTATTCTTGAATCTTTGCTCTTCCATATAAATTATATATATATATACATATATATACTCATAGAAAAAATATAGACATATATCACATAATGATATATATTATGTGATTAATATATGTTAAAATCATATAAAAGATATACCTTTAGTATATGTGTGTGGGGGGAGAGTTTAAAAATACCTTTTTAAATTGAACTTTCTAATTTTGCTGCTTCATAGCTATTTACTTTTACAAACTTTTATCAGAAAATTTTAAACATACGCTAAATTAGAGAGAATAGTAAACGGAATCCCTTGGTAATTATCACCCAGCATCAACATTTTTATAAATACCATTTCCTCTATCCCACTTACCTCTCCCCTACTGAATTTTGGAGGTAGAGGGTAGAGTATTTAAAATAAATCCTAATAAATTGGACAAATGTAACTTACAATTTTCTAAAACTAACTCAAGAAGATATAGAAAAATCTAATTATACCTATAATAAGGAAATAAATTAATAATTAAAAATCTT